TACTTTTGGAGGATGGCCTTGTGTCAAGAAGGGCAGCAAAGAAGCCACTTCTCTCCAGGAAAAACATCAGGGACAGACTGATATTCTGCAAAAGGTACAGGGATTGGACTGCTGAGGACTGGGGTAAAGTCATTTTCTCTGATGAATCCCCTTTCCGATTGTTTGGGGCATCCGGAAAACACCTTGTCCGGAGAAGACAAGGTGAGCGCTACCATCAGTCCTGTGTCATGCCAACAGTAAAGCATCCTGAGACCATTCATGTGTGGGGTTGCTTCTCAGCCAAGGGAGTGGGCTCGCTCACAATTTTGCCTAAGAACACAGCCATGAATAAAGAACTTCTCCCAACCATCCAAGAACAGTTTGGTGACGACCAATACCTTTTCCAGCATGATGGAGCACCTTGCCATAAGGCAAAAGTGATAACTAAGTGGCTCGGGGAACAAAACATCGACATTTTGGGTCCATGGCCAGGAAACTCCCCAGACCTTAATCCCATTGAGAAATTGTGGTCGATCCTCAAGAGGCGGGTGGACAAACAAAAACCCACAAATTCTGACAAACTCCAAGCATTGATTATGCAAGAATGGGCTGCCATCAGTCAGGATGTGGCCCAGAAGTTAATTGACAGCATGCCAGGGCGGATTGCAGAGGTCTTGAAAAAGAAGGGTCAACACTGCAAATATTGACTCTTTGCATAAACTTAATGTAATGGTCAATAAAAGCCTTTGACACTTATGGAATGCTTGTAATTATACTTCAGTATACCATAGTAACATCTGACAAAAATATCTCATAACACTGAAGCAGGGAACTTTGTGAAGACCAATACTTGTGTCATTCTCAAAACGTTTGACCACGACTGTAGATATAGCCTAAATAAGTTCAGGAGTACATATTTGCTTAACAAGTCATATAATAAGTTTAATGGACTCACTCTGTGTGCGATAATAGTGTTTAACATGATTTTTGAATGACTACCTAATTTCTGTACCCCACACATACAATTATCTGTAAGGTCCCCAGTCGAGCAGTGCATTTAAAAACACAGATTCAACCACAAAGATCAGGTAGGTTTTCCAATGCCTCGCAAAAAGGCCACCTATTGGTAGATGGGTCAAATTTAAAAAATCAGACGTTTAATGTCCCTTTGAGCATGGTGAAGTTACTAATTACACTTTGGATGGTATATCAATACACCCAGTCACTACAAAGATACAGGGTCCTTCCTAACTCAGTTGCCGGAGAGGAAGGAAACCGCTCAGAGATTTCACAATGAGGCCAATGGTGACTTTAAAATAGTTACAGAGTTTTAAGGCTGTGATAGGTGAAAACTGAGGATGGATCAACAACATTGTAGTTACTCCACAATACTAACCTAAATCACAGAGTGAAAAGAAGGAAGCCTGTACAGAATAAAAATATTCAAAAACATGCATCCTGTTTGCAACAAGGCACTAAAATACTGCAAAAAATGTGGCAAAGCAATTCTATTTTTGTCCTGAATACAAAGTGTTATGTTTGGGCCAAATCCAATACAACACATTACTGAGTACCACTCTCCATATTTTCAAGCATAGTGGTGGATGCATCATGTTATGTGTATGCTTGTAATCGTTAAGGACTGGGGAGTTTTTCAGGATAAAATATAAATTGAATGGAGCTAAGCACAGGTAAAATCCTAGAGGAAAACCTGGTTCAGTCTGCTTTCCACCAGACTCTGGGAGATGAATTCACCTTTCAGCAGGACAATAACCTAAAACACAAGGCTAAATCTACACTGGAGTTGCTTACCAAGAAGACAGTGAATGTTCCTGAGTGGCCGAGTTACAGTTTTGACATAAATCTGCTTCAAAATCTCTGGCAAGACCTGAAAAAGGTTGTCAAGCAATGATCAACAAACAATTTGACAGAGCTGGAATGTATGTCTCCACGCTCTGGGCTCCAGCATTAGCAGCTCCACCTCTGGTAGTTACTAGCTGTGAGGCCCCCGCGCCGCTCTGTCACGAGAGAGGAGAGAGAGAGAGAGAGAGAGATCGATGAGAAGAGAGTAGTAGCTCGCTAGAATGAGAGGATCTGAGTAGAGCTCTATCTAGAGCGAGTCGGGAGATATGTGGAGAGAGAGAGACTAGATGAGAGCGATATGAGAGAGAGAGAGAGAGAGAGAGAGAGAGAGAGAGAGAGAGAGAGAGAGAGAGACCTGTGCTCCGGCTCTGCTCACATTCCTGACAGAACACTACAGAGACACCCAGAACTAAAACAAACTGATCGGTAAGTCATCTGACTCATCTGGGTGTGAAATACACATATGCACCATGTAATGTGCCTGGCCATACTAGTCATAAATCTAGCAATCACTCACTAATACAAAAAAATATTGCATACAAATTAGAGGAGCTTCTACACTGATAATATGAAAACAAAATAATCAGCTTCCTATTTAAAATAGTTGTTGTAGTCCATCAACAGCAGCAAGAATCACTACTTGTTAGTCTAGACTATTCCTAAAACTCTCGAATCCTCTCGTCGACAGAGTTAAACAAACGCAACAATAGGAATTCTAAGTGCGGACGGAAAGAAAAAAATGTGCGAGTCCTCTCAACCAACAGCAAACCTCTGCCTCTCTCTCCCCTTGCCAAGAAGGTTAAACAGTTTATTAAGAGACAACAAGACTGCCAGACTGACAGCGTCTGAGTGGCAGCTCAGGGTTTAATGCCATTTGATATTGGCTGTGACGCCCGTGCAGTGTGACGCCGTACGCTAGTGCGCGTTAAGAGAGCGTAGCATGTTTCTCCTCTCAGCAACCTGCCATTACCCTGAGCCCGCTAACGAGCACATTAGCCAAACACCAAACATGTCACACTATCCATAGGGGTCAAATCCAGGAGAGAAAACAGAAACGGTGGAAACAGAGTTGGCTAAAGGCCTACCTGTAAATAATATTTCTGAACATTATAATTCAGTGTATGACATTTTAACTTTCTTGGGGGTGTCAGAATACAACGTCTGTCTTAAAAAAAAACATCACAAAAAAAATGCTTTCCAAATAATCAACTCCTGCACTTGAATGTCAATATAATAACTCTACTTTCTTATGAATAAAAATCGAAATAATAAGTAAGGCAACCGTCCATCCATTCCACACCCAAACCAACAGCATGATTATTTCTGTGAGAGAACAGCGGCTCAGCAAACACACCTCAATGGGTCCCCCGCTTCATTGTTAGGGGCATAATACAAGGAGACACTCTGGGCTGTCAGTGTTACCAAGTGAGCGGGGACCTGCCCACATGTAACACAGGCCCGAGGGTTCCGTGTACACAGTCTGCCGTGGGCTGTTGTCTCCTGCACTAGGTCCGCCTGAGAAACATTACTGTTTCTCTTCCCTTCACTTCTTCAACATGTCTGGTCCATTTAGTGTTGTTCTGTATTACTTGTCATTGTTAGGCAGAGGGACACAGGAATGGAACCTTACCTGTTTAGTCATGGAGTCAATGAGTCGTACATAAAAGTCCTGCTCTGTCCTGATGCCTAACACACAGAGAGATAGAAAGAGAGAGAGAGAGAGAGAGAGAGAGAGAGAGAGAGAGAGAGAGGAATGAGGAAGAGAGAGATGAGAGAGAATAGAGAAAGAGAGAGAGAGAGAGAGAAGAGAGAGAGTCTCGACGCCTCTTCTCTCCGCTCTCGCCCTCCATCCTTCTCTCTCTCTCTCGCGAGCCCTTCCTCGCTCAGAGATCTCTCTCTTCTATACCTCCTTCGCTTAGATATCTCCTGCTCTCTCGGGAGAGAGTACGAAGCAGAACCCAAAAAATACATGAGTCACACACACAAACATAGATGCTGACAATGACTATGTAAGTGCCAAACTATGCATTGAGGCAACAAAGTTGACCTCATTGAAAATATTAAGGATACTCTATAGGCTAATTACATTTATTTTGGGGATGTAATTTACAACCTGTATTCTTAATCTAAGCAATTCACTTGTGTCAATAAATATATATTTTTCACCATAGGTGGGATTAAAACTAAATCAATTACAGAACTTCATCCTCCAAACTTCAGGAGTATCAGTCATTATTGAAAAATATATTTCAATAATGCTTGAGATTACAGTCACAATTTAGTTTCAATATTTCCCATGGATATTAGCAATGTTAGTGAATATAGTTAGTCTTTAAACAATATTTGCACAATTTGTGATGGATTAAGCAATAGTTATTGCCAAACACATATGTGAGACAAATCAAAAACAAAAAGTAAACTTAGGCCTATACTTCCAAGGCTGTAGTGACAACTGAATAGGCATAAATAATGTCACAATATATTGTTGCGCAATGGTTTATAGCCTATTCATTAATAAGCTTAACACGGTCAAATATCAATAGTTTGCTAGACAGACTGTGAAGCTTCGCAATGTGATGGGAACAATGAAAACGACACCAATTGAAGCTTATAAAATAAACAGCATAGCCCATAAAAACAATAATACACAAACACACGATACAGGGACCTAAAAACAGTTCTCTTTTTTTGCTGTGAGACAAATAGCTGCTGACGGGGCCAAAAGATGAACCAAGCAAGGCCATTGTGGTCAAGGTACACTACACATGCTCGCAGGCATGAGAAATAACAAGCGCGAGACTGCTTATATGCGGAAATATTTAGCTATGATAATTGTTAATTATGAAAAGACAATTCAGGTAATGAGATTCAGAAAGCCGTAAAGTTGCATTACTTCTACACCAGGCTATTATTAATGATATAAATTGTTTTATTTTCTTTCACTCACAGTATGGACTTCTATAGCAACAGCCTACTGTTGATTATTTTTTTTTATCCAAAATTAAACTTAGCCTGATCAAATGTAACAATTACTTGATCTCAAATTAACTTAAAGATTACATTAGGGAAAAGGCTCAACTAAATGGCACCTGGGGTTGTTATTTATGTAGAATGTAATGCAAATCTTGTTTGTGGTATATGTATCCGCTTCCTGCGACTCAGAACATAAGCACAACATTGTCGACAGGAGAGTTGACCAATGTTGTACACTTACCATTACTGTAGAGAAGTTGCAGTCTGTAATGTATCCCATTGTTGGTCTTTTCTCCAGTGGATTCCTGTAAATGAGCAGATTTAAAAAGTGGAGTTCAACTCATTTCATTCAGATCTGATAAGATGGAAATTGGTGCGCTTGTGTTCAAATTAGACGGAACTCTCAGAAATAAGCTAGTGCATTGATTATAACTCGATAATAATTTGGGATTGGCGAAATGTAGCATAATTATTGTACACATACATTTTGTATCATTCAACAACCACTTATTTAGAACAGTATAGAAATTAGGCTCTGTTTTCATGGCTGAAGGTGAGAACCATCTCAAAAAGAACCATCTCAAAAAGACATTGCAGTAATTATGCTACTTAATGTAGTGCTACTAGAAAAATACATATAAACTGGTTTATTGGAAATTAGGAGAATTTATGGAACAAGTGGTTGTATTATTTTTATTAAGCCTATTTTTTATGTACTGAAATGCACAAAATCATTGCCCAAATTATTTCCATAGCAGTAGGCTAAATATTGGTATTTTGTAATGAGAAAAACACATTGAGTTTATTTGTATTATGTCAAATATTTTATATTATTTTAAACAAGTATACATATTTAGAGATATAACGACAATAAGGAAATAACTTGTAAACTTCAAAAGACAAATATTATTCTACAAATATTATTTTACAAATATATAAATTATTAGTATTATTAGTATTATTCTTTACATTATTAGTATAATTAGGTCCATTTTTATTTGGATACACTTTTATTACTATTAGCCTATTACGAGCATGTAGTCTAATTGCCATAAACATGTGGAAATATTTATAAATCTTCGCTAAATAAATACACAGGTCTTTACATAGGTTGAATGGGTTTTTAATTTAAAATGAGATTCGTCTGATACAGCTATGCTTATTATATAATTGTCAAAATGTGGATGTGGGACAATTTAGTGTGCATGCAGAAGCTGATAATTTTTTTTATTTTTAAATCACTCACCTTTTCCTTCTCGATAAAACCGAGGAAAGACGTCCTTTCGATTTCCACTGGCTGTCCTTGTCTGTCATATAGAGCCAAAACGAAGTGAAAGAAGTTGGATTTCCTTAGATTTGATGGCGGTTGCTTCTCAAAGTGCGCCCGGGCAAGACCCACTCCACTGTGGATAGACATGCAAGGGGTATTCGTTGTTAGAGCATTACCAGACTTAAACGTATGAAATAAGTTCTTAGCCTCTTTAGAGTAAAACTTGTGTAAGTCCTGTTCATATTTGCGAAGCGAATCGTGTAAGTCCTGTTCATATTTGCGAAGCGAATCGTGTAAGTCCTGTTCATATTTGCGAAGCGAATCGTGTAAGTCCTGTTCATATTTGCGAAGCGAACCTTTTGATACTTGCCTCATTTTAAACAGTGCGACAAATAGCCTAATTTGGAAAATTCATGTATTGAAGTGGGCTCTTTTTATGATGAGGTTTAGTTGATATGCCTGTCAATATTCTAGGCTCTTGGCATTGATAGACCTACGCAAGCCTATATAAGACACATATTTCCATGGCCAATTTATTAACATGTTTTTATTATCATGATTTTATAGTTATTATATTCTAACTATTATGACCACTATTTTAACTGTTCTGTCTAACTAAACTGTAGACTATGTCCAATTAACCAGTAGAGTATAGAAGTCATCCATTAGGCTATATGCTGAACTCCCATTGGTGAGGGGAGCATCGACACGGCGGGGGCAAAGAAAACTTAAACAATTATTCGAGCACAAAGCATGTACGCTAAACTGCAAGTGTAGCGACACAAATAATTTGGTACATTGAAAATATAGTTTCCCAAAACAGTGTGGACCGTGGACCATCCGTGCGCTGGTTGAGCCTTCGCGCCGGGAGGAAGATGCTGTCTCCGGCTTCTTACCTTTGAGCGGCCGTGTTCGCATCCAACACCCCCGCTCCCTGCATCCATGTCCGAACTGCGTTCATCCCGGATCCGATGGGTTCCTCTTTCAAACTACTCCCACTCCTCTGGATGCTCTCCTGAATCCCAAACATTAACAAATCGCGCTCCCTCTCTCTGTTTACCAAGTGTCCCAAAATTAGTTTTCTCTAATCACACAGGTAAAAGGCGGGCGTGGACGTGAGATAGTGCTGGGTCCGTGTTGAAGCCAGTGACAGCGTGTCTGTTTACTTTAAACCAAGAGAAAAAGACGAAAATAGTCCAAATACGAGTTATCGAAATCCAGGTGTCTCAGGCACCAAAATCACTTCAAACAGTGATAAAAAAGACAAACGAGCGAAACGCAAGACAGCGCAAATGAACAAAATCTCACTCGAGGTTTTGACGATGTCGCTCCTGTATTGAGGATACGTGCTCTATGAGCTCTGGTGTCAGTGGGATCAACTAGAGCTTTCAGATTGTGCTAGATCAAATATCATCATCCCTTTTCTCTCTCTGTTTCCTTTTTCCAGTGATCTCTGTCAAATGGAAATGAATAAGAAATTGGAAATCAAGAAGAGGAGGACCCTTGTGGCGGCAGATCCCGTGTTGTTCCTCTTGTTAAAATGGGAGTGATTTGTGTCCCTTCCCAAAGGAATCCTATTTGACTATCTCTGAGAACTAAACACAAGCACACCAGCCCCAGAGGGAAGAGGGAGAGACTGTAAGAGGCGGGCTGCCCCCAAACAAAGACGAGCCAAGTGTCAGATACGCCCAACCACGGCTCGCCTCATTAGGCGATATATTTAAGGCCGCCCACTTCCCTTACCTCCACCGCACCACGGTCGCACTCTCGCAGCTGAAGTCAGAGATCACTCTAAAGGAGCTCTCGGAGAATGTTACCAAAGATTACTCCATATCGAAAAATTGGTTGCATGAATTGAAGCGTATAGAGAGGAAATTCTGATTACCGTATTGGTCCGAATATAAGACGACCCTGATTATAAGACGACCCCCCGTTTTTCAACACAAACATTTAGAAAAACAGATTTGCAGACTAGATTTGCCGAACAAAGAACTTCATTTTATTTTAAAATAACAATATTAAAAACACAGTGAATTAAACACAAAGGCAAACTATGTACAGTATGATTCAAAATTAATATCAAGCAATAATAAAGCAACATTTTTAAATAACAGAGAAAATACAGGCCACACATTTAACTAAACTTAACAAAAATTCGCCAAACTTCTCCTCCGATGTCTCTCTATCCCTCACACACGTCCTCTGCCCCGCTGTGTTCGCTCTCGCTGTCATCGCTCCCCAGCTGCTCCGCTTCGTTAGCATCTTTTAGACGTTGTTTTTCTGCTCGCCATCTTCTTACATTACACTCAGTGACCCCGAATGTCTTGGCAGCTTGGCAGTTGTTAGATGACTCTGCCTTATTGACAACCATTATTTTGAAATTGGCATCATAGCTCCTCCGCTGTTGTTTATTGACCTGGCCCACTTTTGAGCCACTTGTCTCTAAATGGTCAGCCTGTCTTTCCATCTTTAAACACCGGTAACGGGCTGGTTGTTAAGGACGCCTCTTCCCTCCGTCCGGAACGAATTTTTGGCGCCATCTGTGCCCGCGAATGTGTATTGACATTTAAAGGGAGCGCCGAAGAAGAGAAACTGCGCTCTGAATACTAGACCCCGAATATAAGACGACCCGACTTTTTTGGACCTATTTCGAGGGGAAAAAAGGCCGTCTTATATTCGGACCAATACGGTAGTTCGGATATGTCTTGAAAACGTGTCTGACTGTGTAGCCCCCAGTGAGAGATTTCTGCATCAGTTTTGGATAAAGCACGGATACGTTTCTTATTATGGGGAAAAACATTTTTTTGTACAACTTTGTTCAATATATCCGCTATTAGGCTCTCATTGTGTGGCCGCAGTAGAGAGGGGAGAGGAGACGCGTTTGAGCACACCGGAATCTTTGTCTCGATGAAACGATTAATGTAGGCTTAGCTAGGCTAGTGTAATAGTATTAAACCATAGATGTCAACCCAAGGTCCAAGTATGTGAAAACATTCTAACACAATTGTAAGACTTTGCATAGATGTCCATACTTCACGCATGCAGATGCACTAGTGAAGTTTACACTATTTTACACACTTTAATATACCCGACTGCAATATAGGAATACAGAACATGTAGCCTAACTGTTTCTTTAATTTAGAAACAATATTTATCCTTATGTGTAGACCTATGTGCTTGCGTCCAACTCATGCAATACATATTTTATTTAAACAAACTAATGCTGACTTTCAGAACCCTTATCATGCAGGCGAAAAAAGCTCGTGCCTTTCAAATGTGTGACTGCATTTCAGGCTATGTGATAGGCAAATATATCAAGGTTACAGTCGTGAGATGAGTTCAGAAAATGTGATAAGCAGGGCTAATATCAAGACATGGTGTTGAACATACTGTATTTTTTGTTATGAGAAAATTGGATTGCAGTTTTGGTCTCAGGACCAAGCTCTGCTTTCATGTGGTGGAGAAATGCGGCAGACAGGCAGAGTTGTTCCACAAAGCAGAGACTATCCTCCGTCTTTCCACTTAGTTGTATACAATTGTTTCACCTCATTTATGAAACCCATATGGTATGAAACAAAACATATTCACGGTTCCAATTTAAATGTAACTGTTTATGCTAACGCCACAAGAAGCGCTGAGACAAACAGTGACAATAACAATAATTAGCTCGGAATAACAATGAGGCATAATTGTTACCAGATTCCTCGTCTTTGCCTTTCTGAGTCTGCTATTTATCGGCGATAAATAAATAGGCTGAAATAGGCTATGACTACTTTGCAGAGAGAGAGAGAAAAACTCTTGATTAATAATTGAATGAATCATGGTTTAGGCACATAATACAAAATAAAAAAACGAATAACGTGGACTATTGAAAGAGGTCTACATTTTCCCCGTTACATTCTTCCTGTCGCTATACATGACACCTTTTGACCTTATTGGGCTGAGTTATTTTATAGCTACAGAGACAAGAGAAAATGTCAAACCGTTTTCCTCTTCTCTGTGAATGACTGACACACCTGAGCCATGGATATATTTTACCCCCACTATCCTCCAAAGTTTTCACATAAGGCTTAATCTAATTCCTTCACAGACTTCCAACCCACACATCTAAATGGCCCAGTGCACAATACAGATAAAACAAGCATATGTTTCTTAGCCTAACAGTATCATAATATATTAGGTATATTAGTAAGATGAATACATATTATTTGAGTCTCTCATTTGAATAAAGGCCTAAACCAATGGAGAAAAATTTTTGCATACAATGTATCAGAATGCATTGTCAACTCAATGTTTACATTTTTTTCAGTTTTTTTGTTTTAAAATCAGATACATTTCACAATAAACTAGCCAACAACACACTATACTATAGCCTACTAGAATGGAGCAAAGTCCCATTCAATTAGACTACATCTAGTCGCTCGAATCCAGAGCGACTGAAGCTCAAGAGCACATCAACTGATTTTTTAACTAGTAGGCTTGGGGATTCGAACCAGCTACTGCTTGGATACTGGCCCAACGCTCTTAACCACTAGGCTACCTATTGCCAATTAATACAAGTTGGTTTTGTGGGTGCTGATGATAGGCTACACGGGTTGATAATGCTTGTGCGGAGGTAGGCTATACTATACTCCCTCCCCACTGTCTTTCCTCGGTAAATTGGTGATTCCATCATCATACGTTGGTGGCGTCATAAAGTTGAGATGCAACTGCGGCTCCCTCCCGTGGTCAATAGGCATCATGTCTTGGATGGATAAAAGGCAACGGAGGAAAATAAGGCTGCGTTTACACAGGCAGCCCAATTCTGATATGTTTCCCCACTAATTGGTATTTTGACCAATCACATCAGATCTTTACACATCAGCTCTTTTTCAAACATGATCTGATTGGTCAAAAGACCAATTAGTGAGAGAAAAAATATAAGTATTGGGCTGCCTGTGTAAACGCAGCTGAGGCACATTTTAGGCACCTGGCACACTGTCCTGCTGCTAATAGTTTCTATATCAATTATTTCGTGCTACTCCTAGCCAACTGCCATTTATCAACTGCCATTCTCTTGTATAGGCCTACGTCGTAGTAGGCTGCATTGAGTTGCTGTGTTTAATTGTAACATTCTGTCTGATAGTGTGGAGTTGGCATAGGACACTGGCTAAACATTAAAACAGGATAATATACTGAATTTAGACGAATACTTGTAGAACGTTTACCACAGACTGGTCTACTATTTCACCGTCTGCAGATGGTCTTGGAGTGCAAGGATTTTACACCTTCAAAAGTGATGAAACCTCGCCACCGTGTGTCCAAGATGTCTCCTCGGGAGGCACAATCAATGCATCAAAAGTCGATGTATTCTAGATAAAAGTTTAATTTGAGCACAAGATGCAAACTAAGCGTATAGAGGTCATACATTTAAACACAAAATACCAGTTAGTCATTTTTGTTTGGTGGGGTTATGTATTTATTTATTTTGGGTCGAGGGCACCTATCTTTGCCATTGATAGCTGATGTGACCGCATAGGGGTTTGGGCAGCGCTATTTAGCCCCATCGCCATTTAAAATAGTTGGTTTAAATTTCATCGAGTTTATTGGCAGTACAAACTGAAAAGTGCACACTGTCACGAACAGTGTTGGAGTGTACCCCCTACAGGCATAAAGCCAAAGTTGGTGATTTAGGCCTACTGCCACCTGCAGTGCTGGAACATGTTTGCTGCAGGAGTATAAATTATTGGTTGATCAGTCCTGCATACCTGTGATCCCATACGAAGTCCATCAGTTGAAAACTTTAAAATGGTGAATTTCCTCCACGCTGCTGCCCATGCCATAACAGGCTTTTGTAGCCAAGTGCACCTAAAATCAAATCAAATTGTATTTGTCACATGCTTTGTAAACAACAGTGAAATGCTTACATATGGGCCCTGCCCAACAATGTAGAGTTCAAATAATAAATAGAAAGATTAGAAAAATGATAACAAATGTAACTTGGTTATATACACTTATCTATTCTATGGTCTTAACATCACCATCTCGGAT